CTGGATTTGTGTAACTTTTGGAATGATCCCAAAAGAAGATTTCTGAGTTTGTTAGTTACAAAATCTTCAGAGAAGAGTCAGAAGATAAGATATTGTTAGTAGAGAAAAGAATTTTCATGGCTTCTAAAACAAAATTCTTGGAGTTTTTTTGTTTTTTTCGTTGGGAGTTTCTTGTTTTGAAATTATTATGTTTAATGGATATTGAAATATATATGTAATATAAGGGAATATGGAGTACTAAAAAGCTGGAGATGGCAGTGACTGGTTTTAGTTGTTGAGACACAACTAATTGTGAGCATTAAAGTAAAAAAGATCAAATAATATAACACAAAAACCTTAAAAATACAATGAAGAAGAGATGTGTTAAATGTTTAGATGTTGAACCATTTTCGCATAATACAACATTTAAGAGAACGTGCATTGTATATTTTCTTCATTTTTTTGTCCCCTCATTATGTAATACACAAGATAAGTAGAATCTACAATTAATATACAGTACTCCCCCCATTCATGAATGTTAGTATGTAGTTTTATACTATAAACATCAAATTCTATCCTGCAATCAGAATCTCCTAAAAGACAAATTTACCGGTCATGTTGTTCTTAAAGAATGTATAAATGGTTCATTTATCTAAGGAAAGTAAAAAATTCGAAGAGGGTAACTAGTGACGAGTTCGAATAGACTCGTGACGTTCATGACCCAAAGTATGTAATATGTCGGTGTGTCCGAAAATGAGAAAAATGAATCTGACCACCACAAGTGGTGTGGTATTACCCAAAACGGCAAAGAAAAAGACCCGCAGGGAAAAATGTATTTGGTGCGTTTTTTTTTGTTATCCACTCAGCAAATAATTAATTCTTCTTACTATTTTTTTCATAATAAAACTGGTAAATTTATGTATTTTTTTTGGGTCAAATTTATGTTTTTTTTTTTTAAAATGCCATTTTCCTTCTTGTTGTAAGAATAGCTATAGATCTGGCTTATTGTTATGATTTTTTTAAAAAAACTATTATATTTTCACGAAATTTTATGGAAGAAGCCTATAAAAGGATATAATTTATGACCCAATAAAAAAAGAAGGCCCAAAATCGAACCAATTCAATCCAAAATGTCTATAATTTGGAGCCCAACATAGATTTTCACCTTTCTTCTCTGCTTGGGTTTCTGACACATCATTAGCTTCGCAGGGG